AAGAAACTTCACTCCTTGTAAAACCACTACACTGTTAGTGACTGCCTTCTAACCAGTGAAACCCAGTTGGAGTGATGGGAGATCAGTTTCAAGACTTCATGACAAAAATTCTGTCACTTTCTTCTTACTTTGTCCTGTGTTTGTTCCATCTCTCTCTCCTGTCTCTCTACTCCGCTGTCTCCCTCCTGCCCTTTCTCTCTCCTCCCTTCTTTCTGTATCTCTACTCTGTCTCTCTCTGTGTGTGTCTAACTCTCTGCTTTCTGTCCTCATTTGCTCCCTCTGTCTCTCCATGAACCCTGGAAATGGGGAGATCAAATACTTAACTTAGGGGCTACCCTATGAGACCCCTATATAGGAGAGAAAGATATACGTTCCCTGGTCAAAAGATTGAAATAGGCTCTCAGTTCAAACTGAATTCTGATATTCTGATATTCTGATATTGCCCATATCAGTGAGCTTGGGAGTAAAATATCACCCTGTTCAGTCTCCGTTGAGACCACAGCCCTGGCTTCATAGAGACTTTGAGGCAGTATCACACAGCTATGCTGTGCCTGGATTTTCTCCCAGAAAAAATGTGAGCTATTAAATATTCGTAGTTTTAAGATTCAAGGTATTCGAATAATGCTGTCAGCGAGGAATGGATAACTAACAGTCTAATAGGTCCCAGCATCTGGTCTATGATCTGCCTTCTCCCTGCCTCTCCCCTTCCAGGATCCTACAGGCACATTTTCCACCTTTTTAATGTTTCTAACGGAAAAACACGATTTTGTCTCCTATTCTCTGCACCAGCAATATCTTCTCCCTGACACACTGCAGACATGTGCAGTGTGGATTCCTTTTGTCATTCTGGCTCCAGTAAATGTCACCTCAGTGCAGCCTTTCATATACTCCAGTGACTCCCCAACCTGTCCTCACATCACACTCATTCTTTTCACAATTGTATTTCTGGCTTCTTTTTTTCCACATGTCTTTCATACCTTTGTTCATCTCCCCCTCCAAAATGTGAATACCTGGCAGGCAGGGACCACTTTGCCATTGTAAGCCTTGCACTTAGGCCCACCAGATCCCCAAGCACAAGGTGAGTGCTTGGGACAGTTACTGAACGAAGAAATAGAAAGACCATGGAACACTCCATCTAGATTTTGACCAGCTTAATCTGTGGAGATAGCTGCTAGTAATGGGAGATTCCTGCTGTATCCAGAATGACCCCTGAATGACCTTTCCCTGGTCCAGTTTCTCCAGCAAAACTCAGTGGACACCACTGACACTGGAGGCTGCCTGTGCCCTGATGTCCAGCACTAGCACTGGAGCCCCAGGCATGAAGATCCCCAAACAAAATCAGCACTTTTATGTGACTGAGAGGAAGGTAGTGGCCCTTTAAGGTCCCAGGATAAAGCTCAGGACCTACAGACTCCAGGACTGTGCAAGGGAACTCAGGCTTCAGCCATTCCCCTTACTCTGTCCATCCCCAGTATATAGTCTTTGCTCATGGGCATCCTCAGGTTGCCAGGACAATGACTCCTTTGATTCCAAATGAAGACTCTGGGTGTCCAACAAGGACTGATATTGTGCTTGGACTCTAGACTCAGTGTGCAGTGCTCTGACATGTCCTTCCCTATCCCGAGTCCTCACCGACCCAATTCCCGAAGCCTCTAGGCTCTCAAAGACTTCCAACAAATGTAGAGCATTTCTACAGTATCTCAGAACACAGTGAGTCACTGATAGAGAGCCAAGGCCAATTGAGCATTTATGATTGTATGCAACTCTGGAGAAACCCACTGGTAACATAACTCTCTATGGAAAAACACTGAAGCCTCTTCTTCTGTAGCTGTTGTCTAAGCAAAGGGGAATTATTCATAATTCCAGGTTCCCACAGAATTGGACTGCTGTACCCTAGTCCTTTCCTCAGAGAGACCTGAGCTCCCACCTAGAACAGGGACTGGCAAATGTTTTCTCTAAGGGGCCAGACTATAAATATTTTAGGCTTTGTGGGCCATACGGTCTCTGTCACAACTACTCAACTCTGCCTTTGTAGCATGATAGCATTAATACACAATACATAAATAAATGAGCATGCTGTGTTACCCATAAAACTACACAAATAGGGACTGGGCCACAGGACCTAGCATGTAGGCTGCACTTTGCATTGACTTAGGTAAAGGAACTCAGCCATGCAGCTTAAATTCTGAGCCTCATGTGTTAAAAAAAAAAAAAAGATGAAGGAAAAGTGCTTACTGCATATGGCCTTTTATAGGAATTATAAAAAGTAAATGGAATAAGGTATGTAAGCCTCTTAGCATCAGGCCCGGATATTGCTTGTTTAATAAATAGTAATATACTTTTTTGAAGTCAGTAAAAGAGACTCTCCAATGTTAGTAGCCCATTCTCATTTCACAACTTAAAAAAAAAAAAAAAAAAGGTAGGTTTAGAAAAGCCAAATGGAATTAACAAGAGGGAATTTAAGGTGCCCACACCTGCAACATCCAGGGGTATTGCTGGCCTCAGGCATAGCTGGACATAAGGGTTTTGCATGTGCTATTCCTTCCACCTGAAATGTTCTCCACATCCTTGTCTGCCTACACCTGCCAAAAGTCTTTCTCAACGTTCAGATTTCAATGCATTCTTTAGGGAAGGTTTTCCTAAATTCTTGACTAGAAAAACTCTCCCTAGAACAAGATTTTAAAATCCTCCTTTTGGGGCGTCTGGGTGACGCAGTCGGTTAAGCGTCCGACTTCAGCCAGGTCACGATCTCGCGGTCCGTGAGTTCGAGCCCCGCGTCGGGCTCTGGGCTGATGGCTTAGAGCCTGGAGCCTGTTTCCGATTCTGTGTCTCCCTCTCTCTCTGCCCCTCCCCCGTTCATGCTCTGTCTCTCTCTGTCCCAAAAATAAATAAAAACGTTGAAAAGAAAGAAGAAAAAAATAAAATCCTCCTTTAGCATTCTTCATAGCTGTGCTTTAACATTATGAGTAACACTTTTCTTCCTTACTAGTCCACAAGCTCCAAGAAACTTTGATATGCACAGGAATCACCATGCAATCTAAAATGCGGATTCTGGTTCAGTAGGTCTAAGGTGGGCCTCAGCATTTGCATTTCTAACAAGTTTTTAGGCCATGCCAAAGCCAAGGCTACTGGTCAGCACACATTTTGAGTATCAAAGGCTTCATTATCCTAGACCTCTTAATTACCTTCTTTCCCATTAAATCCTATTAATTACTTTTGCAGAGAGGAGTGTCTATTTTTTTTCCCCTTCAACCCATCAACCTAGGTTCCCAAAGCTTCTCCTTTTATTACAGTCAATCCCCCTCCATCTCCAACACCACCACTACTTATGGACTGGCTTAGCAAGGAATTTCCCAAACAGAAGCCCTCTCTTGAGGAACCGTAGAGCCATTGACTACAATGTTTCCTCCCCACCCTCTTTTTTTTTTTTTTCCACTTGATTCCTTCAGGCAGTAAACCCTAAGCAGAGAATCTATTGTTGGGATTTAAGGTGCCAGCAAGGTGCATTCCTTTTTCTCCTTCCCAATTCTGGGGACCAATTCAGCTATAAACATAGGAGAGAGACTAAGTTTTTTAAAAAAGTACCAGTTTTATTATGACAAAGATTGGGAAATGTAGCTGGGATCCAAAGCCAGATGGGTTTGCTACTCTGCTCTTAGAGTAACTTTCTTTCAAAGCTTCAAGCCACCCCACTACAGAGGAAGAGCCTACCCCTGTCACCTACCACATGGACAAATGGAGAATTCAGGTGCACCTAGAGGGAGGTTGGGCTTTGCTGCTTAGTTTCTTTTTCAGCTTTATCACTAAAGGCAGGTTGCTCCTACCACATAAGTGGGTGAGGAGCAGAGAGGGATCAAGGGCACTACTATGTCACTTTCCTTCCAGGAGACCCTCTAACACAAAGCATTAGTACAGTGGGATAAAGGGCTTTTTTCTTCTAGTTGGACTAAAAGCCTAATTTGTTCTGAAATCTCAGACCTCAAATCCCTCTTTTCTCACTAAGCCTTCCATGAAAGTCAAGGGAAAAAACAAAGGTCACCATATTTTGGGTAAACAAATGGCAGGGGATACTTGTGGCTTAACTTCAGTGAAGCTCTGGAAGACAGTGATAGATCGGGGGTGGGGGTGGGGGTGGGGTTTCAGAGGAAGGAGTATTTGGGAAATGCTGCAGTAGGCTGGGGCCAAAATGGCTCCAGTAGCCCCAAAGGATGATGAGGGCAGTTGTAAATAGCAGAGGAAGAAGGACTCCTGCTCCATCTCTCCAAATTCTATTTTCTCCCATCTTTTCCTTCTCCTTCTGCAATTCTTACCAATTAGTAAAACTAATGGATGTTTTCATCTTAATCTCTTGACCACACACAAAACAAGCTTAAGAGGAGTAGTCATCAATTAGTAATCACATAACCCATGACAAAGACTTTGACCAAACTTTTAGTCAGGCTCCTCTGAACCCTCTTCTCAAATGAGGCCTCAAACTTTGGATTTCCACGTCTGTCTTTGCATCACCCAATTTAGCAAAACTCTTAAGTCAGTTCCATAAGAATCCCTACCCTCAATATCTGATCAAATCCCTTGTCCCCCACCCCTGGTATTTGAGTACACTGGCCTGCCTTCAGCAAGAACCTTATCAAGTTGGTTCAGACGGAATTGCCTCCCCATGTTTCCTCTTAGTAATTTTCCATCCACTGAAAATACAGTTTGGAATTGAGCCTGGTTCTATACTGAGATCTGTTTTCATCTATCACAAGTCTTAATTAAATAAAACCAGTTTATACCACTTTACTATCCAGCTCTGGTTTTGACACCCACCCCCACCTCTAATACCAAATATGGCCAATATTTTTGAAATAGCAGACTTATCAGGCCCAAATGGGAGACGCCATTGCACTACATTCTAATCACATATTTGCCTCATGCTAGATGCTGTACAACACACAAAAATAGATACAATATTTCCTGGCCACAAAGGATATTTGATGTGAATAATAAAACAAGAGAACTAACTGACCAATATTTATTAAACTGCTTTACATGGCAAATAAAAGAACAACCTTAAGGAGTTTTGGTTTCTACCTTGAGGTATATGGTGACAGATTCATGGAAATCGAGGTAGAAAATAGAGTGCTGACACCAATGACCTCCCAGCTCCTAAACCTCACAATGGGAAGGTAGTAGGCAAAAAGCAAGAGGGAGACATTCACAAAGGCAAGAAATCTAACACAAGCTTCAAAGAAAATGCAACAGGACAACCAATGAAATGAAAGGGAAGATTCCTGGGAATCAGCTCTGCCTCAAGTCAGCTGTGTCTCAACAGAAGCAGTTGAGTCTAGATAAGCCAAGGGCTGCAAGTATGAACACATTTGTTGGCTCTTAACGGGGTGCCTCCTCCTTGGTCTCAAGTCTCATTTCCTCCTGGAAGTTTTCATTTCTAAACTAGAAAACTGACCATGCCACTCCCCTGTTAAATAAGAGCCTTCAGTGCCTGAGAAATAAGACCCTAGCTCCTTGATCTGGCTTACAGGGACCCCACAGATTTAATCTCTGGGACTCCCTCCTCCAGACACAATGCTCTAGCAACACTGTTCCCAGGGTACTCACCAGCTTGTTTCTCACTTCCTTCTCTTTGCTCATGTCAGCACTCTGCCAAGAAAAGCCCTCCTCTCACCTGTACACAACTAACCTAGTTATGAAGATTTGGTTTGTAGGTTTTCCCCAAACCTTCCTCCAGATGACCAGAGGCATATCTCTTTTACTGGACCTATTACATTACAGTGACCAGTTTGTATGACTGGTTTGCTTTCGACAAGGTTAGCGAGGAAAGCGGCTAGGTCTTACTCGTGTTTAGAATCCTTAGCACCTAGCATACTCACCCAGTGACAGTTTGTTGGGTGAAACATAACTCCTTAAAGCAGGAAAGAGGCTATTTTGCAGTGGTTCAGTGCATGAGTAAGATTTAAAGGCTGGTTCTCGTATTTACTATCTGGGTGACTTCAAATAAAATTTTCCAGTACACTAATGAAAACAAACCTGGTAATACCCATCTGATAGGGCTGTTGGGAAGAGTAAATTAAATCAGGCATACGAAGCACTTGGCTCAGCTCTACCAAGGTTAGTTCTCTCATCCCTATTACAATGTGTCCCAACTCCCAACTATCACTCCCAACACAGCTCGGGACAGTAAGCAAATCCTGTTTGCCCAAGATATGTTTAATTGTAAGAATAGAGATAGAGGTCAACTCTTCATAAAAAGCAAACTATGGCCCCATCTTAGATGTGCCGCATGTTTCCTTCTCTTACTTCTTTGAGTAGCAGTATTTCTGGATTTCTTCTGCAAGCCACAGGCAGTGCAGGATGCGTTTCTTTTCAGCAGCCAGTTCCTTTTCAGAGAACTGGCCCAAGAGTTTCTGGACAAATATGTTTTGATCTTTCAGGAAAATATTCTTATTGACTCCTACATTTGGCATATTCTCCAGGGACCCAGATTTAAAATGGAAGCTTAAATGTCTGTTTCGTTTTAGACCAGGTCCTTTCTCTTCAATCCATGTGAGCGGACTGCAAAGACAAAAGAATCATAAATGTTAGAGATGACAAGAGAGTGCAGGTGGATGTTTGCTAGCCCGTGATAACCTGGTAACAGGTCTGCACATTGTACCTATCTTCCCTGAAGCTGCTGCTCAATGTAGTGGCTCAGGTGGCATCTTGACCTCTACCAGCCTCCCAAAGGCCTTGGGTGATTGTTTCCAACTTCAGGGCCAAACAGTCCTTCATTTAATTTTGCCATCAGGCAAGGGAATTCACTCAATGATTTTGTGTGAACATCAGTTTCTTTTTTCTTGTGACTGCCTTATCTGTAACTTTTTAAAAAAGTTTTTATTTTAATTCCAGTTACTTAACGGTGTACGATATATTAGTTTCAGGCATACAATATAGTGATTAAACACTTCCATACATTATCCGGTGTGTGCATACTGACGGTTGGCACTTTACTGTCAACTGAATAGGGCTGAGGATGGGACCTTGTCCACACATGTTCCGGGCTTGGACAACACTTAGCTCCAGACATCCCAACCCAAAACACAAGTTTTAAATTCACAGACCACTCCTCCACTCTTTCTCTCTGCGAGAACTTTCATTTGCAAATATTTGCATTTGTCAACTTGGGCATAGACTACCAACAAAAAGCTTCTTAGGTCTCCCCTTCCACAGGGAGGTGTTTAACCACATCCATATCCCGAGTTTCAGCCTGCATCTGCAAACCCGGTGGAGGTGGTGATTTCTAACTGCTCTCCCCAGGCTCTTAAGGATGAGCAGGCAGGGACCACACTCCTACCAGCTGTCTTTGACAGGAGAGCTGAAACGTGTAACTCTTCTATACATTGACTATCCACGTGACATTTGGATTAAAAAAGTATTGTTTATTTTTACAAAGTGTGAAAACTGTTGGTAAGATGGAAAGAACATGGGCTTGAGAATTAAGCTGCACTAGGGTTATTTGGATGACCTTGGGCTCTAAGACAATGACACCTACATCATTGGCAGGTGAAGACTGCAACAAGGGAAAGACGAGACCTGATGTGGTTTCTCTAAGACCTTCCTTTCTTGTGCCCTTCCCATGAAGTTTTGGGGAGAAGGTGTCCCAATCTGGGGACAGGAGACAGGCTGCCTAAGTGTGATTCTCACACAACACTTAGTTCTGTGCCTTTAGCCAGTTTCTTAACAGTGCTGAACCTCAGTTTCCCAGGTGATCATAATAATTCCCACTTAGAGAGTTCGCATAAAGATTCTATGAGAAAATTCTTGTTAAAGGGCTAGGCCTGTGCCTGGCACACAGTAAGCACTCAGTAAACAGTCTCTAACACCAGCACTTCCACAACAGGAATTCAAGTAATGATCCCTCTGGCTAGTCCTTTTATTGTGACCTCTCAAAATCATGCTTCCCACCACCTCCCCCCACCCCCCCCCCCACCCCCCGCCAGCCTCTTCCCCATTCCCAGTTATGGTTCTGCTCTATTCTACTCTATTGTTTGAAGGTAGCTATAACTTAAAAAATTGTGTCTGGAAACAACTGGCACAGGCTCCTAATGTGCAGTTAACAACCCTAGAAAGACATCTACTTATAGTTGAAAGCTGAAACTCAGGCCTGCAGACTGAGTCAAGTTTTGGGGGAGAGAGAGAAAGAAGCCCACAGATCCCAAGCATTCTTCCCAAGCACAGTCAGAAGCCATAACTGCATTTACAGGATAAGATGGCCTTTCTCTGTCACAGAGGACACTATACTAAGCAGCATGTAAACCAAGCAGGGACTTATTTGCTTTGAAGAGCTACATTTCACCAAGTCGTCTATTCTGGAAGTCATTAAAATGATAAGATGAGGGGCGCCTGGGTGGCACAGTCGGTTAAGCGTCCGACTTCAGCCAGGTCACGATCTCGCGGTCCGTGAGTTCGAGCCCCGCGTCGGGCTCTGGGCTGATGGCTCAGAGCCTGGAGCCTGTTTCCGATTCTGTGTCTCCCTCTCTCTCTGCCCCTCCCCCGTTCATGCTCTGTCTCTCTCTGTCCCAAAAAAAAATAAATAAACGTTGAAAAAAAATTTTAAAATAAGATGATTCATGTATAAATCAATGATAGCCCATACATAAAAAATTCATATTCAGGTCAGACAGAGTCTAAAAGATAGTAGTTAGATTAGTAAACTAGTAAAACTAAGGTGTTCAATCTATCATTTAAAAATTTTTTATTATGACTCCAATTTTTAAAAATAAATTATTACAGGGGCGCCTGGGTGGCGCAGTCGGTTAAGCGTCCGACTTCAGCCAGGTCACGATCTCGCGGTCCGTGAGTTCGAGCCCCGCGTCGGGCTCTGGGCTGATGGCTCGGAGCCTGGAGCCTGTTTCCGATTCTGTGTCTCCCTCTCTCTCTGCCCCTTGCCCGTTCATGCTCTGTCTCTCTCTGTCCCAAAAATAAATAAACGTTGAAAAAAAAATTTAAAAAAAAAAAATAAATTATTACAAATTCTATCATCAAAAAGTTGGTCTCACTTCTAAAACATTAATCTCCATGGCTAGTTTTGTTTTACTTAACTGAGGTAGGTGACATTAACACTGTATTAGTTTCAGCTCATGGCTAGTTTTAAAAGCACATGGTACACGCTTTAAAACATTCCAGAATTTGATAACAAAGATGAACATTAATGCTGTTTTTATTCACTGCTTTAACGTTGGATACAAATAAATTTGAGACAGCGGCACCTGGGTGGCTCTATCAGGTGAGCATCTGACTCTTGATTTCAGCTCAGGTCATGATCCCAAAGTTGTGGGATTGAACCCCACATCAGGCTCCAGGCAGAGTATGGAGCCTGCTTGGGATCTTCTCTCTCTCCCTCTGCCCCTCTACCCTGCTCGTGCTCTCTATCCCTCTCTCTCAAATAAAATAAATAATATTTTTTTTAAAAAGGGAATAAAAAGAAATTTGAGATATTCCAATGGTTCTGATCTACCTAAGAAATTTTCTCATATCCTTCCACAGAACATGGAGTCTTAAAAGTCTGAGGAAATGCCAAACATCAAGGATGTTTCTTCTGATTCAATTTCCTAATCAGTGGACATGACTAATAAATATACAGCTTCACCTATGCTATTGTGGTGGTGTGACAGTAAAAGTACAATCTGTGAAGTAGAAAGTATTATATGTAATTAACAACTTATTATAATATGTTGTTTGCCATCTGTCCCAACCTCTCATCTGATGCCTGCCCCGCCTTTGCAATAATGAGTTAGTCTCTGCTTCCCTCACATCTTATTTCCTGTCAAGGACTGAGAAGAGCACATTTTCCTCTGAGAAGCATGACCTGACCTCTCGACATTCCCCTTTTCTGTGCTCCAGAAGCACCCTGAGCTATGTTTAGCTCTGGCTACTGGGGACAGCACCTGTCTGTGGGGATGGTCAGACTATAGCTGCAATTCTTACACTTAGAAGGTCAGGGTCTGCTAGTGCTATTACTCCAAATGCAGCCCTTGCAGGTTCCGCATGCTTTATCTTCCTTCATCTGTGACCTCTGCCTTTCCCCAGCAAAGAGGAAACTCCTCAAAATGGACAAAGATCAGGCTTCATTCAGGAACCCAAATACTTTTCTCTTTTTGTAAATACCCAATGGTCTGTTTCTTTTACTACCAAGAGCCCCACCAGCTGGAAGCACATTTAGAAACACTCCAAAACACTTGTTATTTTAAATATTTTATAGAGCCCAAGTGCTTTTCAAGGAGGATTATGAATATGCTTTTGTTTTAAAAGACTTGGTATAAAAAATAAAGAATCAGAACACTTTGGGAATAGTATGACAGAATAAGATAAAGCTGAGAAACAGAACCTTAAATTGTAGTCACAATGAGGGATGGATATTTGGACATGTGATAAGCAAGCAGGATAAAATGTCAATGGCAAGATCTAGGTAGTAGTTGTATGGGTGTTCACTGCAAAATTCTTCCAACTTTACCATACGTCTGAAACATTCATAATAAAATGTTGGAAAAAATTCAGGTCTCAGGGGTAAACTGGATTTCTGTTACTTCATCTGATCTTGCTCACTTGTGTGGCTTAGGCAACCTGCTCAAATTCCGTAAGCCTCTATGTACTTGGCAAAGGGGATCATGTTCGTCTTATTTACCTTCCAAGGCTGCTGTGAGGATGAATAAGGCCAACATAAGTGAAATCCCAGCACCTACTGTGTCTACAAAAGCAGACAGTCCTTCTGGAGTTGGGGTTGGGGGTCTAGGCCCTCTGGGCTCTGTCTAGATTCACCTTTGTGAACATATGACAATGTCCTCAAGTTTCCTCCTCACAGTTTCTCACAACCTACCGTTTGTTCTCTGTCTCTAAGCACACAGTCATTTTCATATGTTGATCTTCCTTTCGCTCTTCCAAAGTGGCGGATATAAGAGAAAGTTCCCCAAAGAGGGAGACCAGCCAGGTCAGGCGAGAAATGCCACTGAACGCAGGGAAGCCAAACCGCTCTTCTTCCAATGGGCCAGCTGTGGGGAATCACAAACACCATGGGAAGTGGGAAGTAAGGACTGATAGCTGGAGAGCTGAGGGAGCAAGTGGGCAGGTGTGTGGCTAGGTCCTCAAGACAAAGCAACCTTGCCTTACAGCATGATATGCAAGATGACTACTAATATTTAGGTGCCTGAATGAAAACTTCATAAAAGCATTTCTCTTTTTTCTTGTTTACTTGATTCAATTTTCTTGGGAAAATAAAACATTTTATTGGAAACAGCAGTCCACCTAGCCCATAGGATAATAAAAATATTTCAGGCTTCTACTATGCACATGTGGTTTACATATAGTAAACATACACACACATACATACATACCCTCTTCAGTTAGTGATTTAAAGAAGTCTTATAAAAGAAAAAGAATCAAGGTATTTTAGGCCCCCAAGCCTATATTCCTATAAATACCATATAACTAACAATAGGGTAAATGACAATAGGGTGAAGGCACCATGATAGCTATGAAGAAAACAGCAATACCTATAAACTGTGTCAATATAAAAAAAAAAACTGATACAGTGTTAAGTGCTTCCTTAGTCTTCATAATCTCCTACACAAAAGTACATTAAAAAAAAATATCTGTGTGAGAAATATGTGTGGTTAAGATATTGCTCCCGACTCTCTCCAGCCCCAATTTTAAACATAACCCAAACTTAAAAGGCTACATAACCTGTTAGGTTGTTTATAAACTAATTCCTTACAAATTTGATACTGACTTGAAAAGAATTCATATTATGACTATGTTTTAAAAAAGAGAACACGGGCGCCTGGGTGGCTCAGTCGGTTGAGCGTCCGACTTCAGCTCAGGTCACGATCTCACGGTCCGTGACTTCGAGCCCCGCGTCGGGCTCTGGGCTGACAGCTCAGAGCCTGGAGCCTGCTTCCGATTCTGTGTCTCCCTCTCTCTGCCCCTCCCCCATTCATGCTCTGTCTCTCTGTCTCAAAAATAAATAAATGTTATAAAAAAAAATTTTTTTTTTTAAAAAAAGAGAACAAGCTATAAATAAAAGCAAAAAAATTTATAAGTTTCATAGACAACATGGTTTGAAGTCACTAGGACCTAAATATCAAAGTTACAAAAGAAAGGTTTCTCCCTCTCAGCTGGTTACTGTCTGCTCTTGGGCTTTTTGGAGAGGACAGAGCAGCCATCAAATGTTTGAGCCATGAAGTCAGAGGCCTGAGCTCCAATCTGGCTCTGCCACAAAGCTGTTTTTGACTTTGTGAACTTTGTGAACTTTGTGAAGCTATTCACCTCTCTGAGCTTCCTTTTCTCTGTGTGTATAATGGGGATATAAATACTTTATAGGATTATCATATATGAATTAACATGAACTAATTAATACATGTCACATACGTGGCACAGTTCCTTGTACAGGTTCATGGTTATTGTTACAACTCTATCATTATTTTAAAAGATGAAGGTGGATTTTAAGAAGAGGTTTCACTGTTATTTTCTGAAAATTCATGAGGAGATAAATGGTTTTACCACTTAGCAATGCCTGACCATGTCAGGGTTTTACTTCTATAAGGAAAGCCCTCAGGAAAGGTTCCAAATACTCTAGGATATAGCCAGATAAGAAGGCCATCCAAAGAGCAGGAGGCTCCAGGATGCTCATATCCTATTGCTAATGGAGCTCCTCAAATAATGACCAACATAGAGCAAATAATCAAATATAGTGTAGACCAAATATTCTGGGGGCTGCCCATGTCCTTGTAACGTGTTGGAGGAAGAAAGGGGCTATGAATATTGTTTACTCTGCAAAGAGAACAAAAATATTCTCCTCTCCAAGAACCTGAGTCCATGTTCAACCTCCTGTGGAAAAATAGTCTCCAATTTGTTAAGATTTAATGAGGAAAATTCTATCTAAAAGGTTGGGACAGAAGCATTTGTAAGCTTAACATTTCTAACATACTTTTACCTAAGGTCCACCAAGCACTTAAATCTCATTTGTGGAAAGAAAAAAAAAAAAAGGCTATTTTTATTGTTTGTGGAAGCATGGGAAGATTATATTAAATTGGCCTTCAGTCAGACAGTCTTTAGAAAAAATGAATCCAAATTACATCCTAGAGAACTAGGAAAGAACCTAGTTAGCTTTCTGGCCTCACCAGTTACACATGACCTGTGATCCCACCTCAAACTGACCTGTAAAGAGGAGAGACCCTTTTAGCAGGTCTTTTCCCACCACTTCTTTTTTCAGGAATGCAAACTCCTCCATCAAGAGTTCAACATGCTCCTCATGCAAGACCTTTCCTGTCATGACAAAAATGGGAATAAAAAAGGCAGTCATCATCAGTCATGTATAGATGTGCATCCCAGAGTCTAGGTCTGTCTTCTACCAGCACAGAAGGACACAGCGACTGCAGAACCACCTGGGGTACCACTATATCCTTACACACCCCACCTGGAGGTGATGTCAGTTCTCAACTTACAACAGAAATGAAAGTCTAAGAAAGCAACATGATATCTACCTGCCCCAAAGGCAAGATGAGATCTGGGAAGTATCTGAGCTGAGTGCTAACTTCTCTTCTAGCCAGAATGGGGCAGTGCAGCATAAAAATCTAAGAAACAAGGAGAAGAAAAGGAATTTTGAGGACTAAAGAGAAGCTAAAATTAGACTCCTTATTTCAAAAACTGGAAGAACCAAGTGACTTTTTCAAATTACCCAGGTTGGAGGGTGGATAGATAATATTCGTAACTAAAATTTTGGATTATAAAAGAATGCTGTTAAAATTTTTTGCTCTGGTGGCTTTTTCTTATCTAGGTTAGAAGATTCATAAAATACCAGAACTGGTTCCCCTTCTTCAGTAGTTCTTTATTTTCAACTAATCCCACATGACTTTTTTTTTTTTTAATATATATTCCTTCCATATTACCAACCTCTCTAGGTACACAAAACAAAACAAAACTCAGGAAAAACTTAAAGTACAAGAAAGCTCTTTTGTTCAAATATGTTTTGTTCAGTAATTCCCTTTTATTTTTATTTATTTATTTTTATATCTCTCTGGCTTATTTACTACTTGTTACAAGTTTGTGCCCTTAAACATTATGAATCTTACCCCTCACACATCCTATTCCCTGGTGGTAATCACCATTTCACTGGCTATTTTTTTTATAGGTTTGACTTTCTAGATTCCACAAATTAGTGATAATCATATAGTACTTGTCTTTCTCTGACTTATCGCACTTAGCATAATGTGCTCAAGGTTTATCTGTGTTGTTGCAAATGGCAGGATATCCTCCTTTCCCACTGCTGAATAATATTCCAGTTTATATATGTATCACACCTTTTTTTTTTTTTTTTTAACATTCATCTGCTGATGGGCATTTGGGTTGCTTCCATGTCTTGGTTATTGTGAATAATGCTACAATGAACATGGGTGTGCAGTTATCCCTTCAATGCACTGATTTCAATTCCTTCAGATATATACCCAGGAGTAGGTTTCTGGATCATCTGACAGTTCTGTTTTTAATTTTTTGAAGACCCGCCATACTGTTTTCCATTTTGGATATGCCAGTTTACATTCCAACCAAGAGTACATCAGAGTTCCTTTTTCCCCACATCCTTATCAACATTTGTTACCTCATTGTTTGAAAATAGCTACCATAATAGGTGTGAGGTGATATCTCACTGTGGTTTTGGTATGCCTGATGATTAGTGACCGTGAACTCGTCTTCATACATCTGTTGACATACCTGTTTGTATATCTTCTTTGGAAATGTGTCTCTTAAATTCCTCTGCCAATTTTCTAATTGGATTGTTTGCTTTTCCCCTATTAGCTGTGTGAGTTCTTTATATTTTAGATATTAACCCCTTATGACATATATAGTTTGCAAATATTTTTTCCCATTCTATAGGTTGCCATTTCAGTTTACTGAATATTTCCTTTACTGTGTAGAAGCTCTTTAGTTTGATGTGTTTATGTTTATTTTAGCTTTCTTTGCCTGTGAAGTTGGTGTCTTATCCAAGCTAACACTGCTAAAAACAAAGTCAAGGATTTTCCCCCTATGTTTTCTTTTAGGAGTTTTACAGTGTCAGATAAGTCTCTTTTTCTTATGATTTCATATGTCTCTGATACATTTCAAGACAATTTCTGTGACTGATGTAAGACAGGAGTCCAGTTTCATTCTTTTACATGTGCATATCCAGTTTTCCTAACACCACTGATTGAAGAGACTACCATTTTCCCACTGTATGTTCTTGGTGCCCTTGTCAAATATTAGTTAACCACGTACGCATGGGTTTATGTTTGAGCTCTCTATACTGTGCCACTGGTCTATGTGCCTGATTTTATGCCAGTGCCACACTGTTTTGATTCCTATACCTTTGTATCATAAATTGTAATTTAGGAAGTGTGATGCTTCCAGATTTATTCTTCATTCTCAAGATTGTTTTTGGTATTGAGGGTCTCTTATGGTTCCACACAAATTTCAAAATGGTTTTACTATTTCTGTAAAAATAATGCCATTGGAATTTTGCTAGGGATTGCACTGGATCTATAAATTGCTTTACAAAGTATGAACTTTAAAAATATCTATCCTTCCAATCCAAGAACGTGAGGTACCTTTCCAATTAGTTGTGTCTTCTTCAATCTGTTTTTAAAAATGTTTTATTTAAATTTCAGTTAGTTAACATACAGTGTATTGTTAGTTTCATTATACTGTATGTTTCAGGTGTACAATTTAGTAACTCAACACTTAACATATAACACATGGTGCTCAATTACAAGTACACTCCTTAATCCTCAATACCTATTTAACCCATTCCCACCCCCCCCCCCCAATTCTCCTCTGGTAACCATGTGTTTGTTCTCTATAGCTAAAAGTGTGTGTTTGGTTTACCTCTCTTTCTCTTTTTTTCCCCTATGATCATTTGTTTTGTTTCTTAAATTCCACATATGAATGGAATTATATGGTATTTGTCTTTTTCTGACTGACTTATTTCACTTAGCATAAACCTCTCTAGCTCCATCCACGTCCTTTTTTGCAAGATTTCATTCTTTTTTTATGGCTGAGTAATATTCCACTGTATATAAATATACCACATTTTCTTTATCCATTCATCAGTCAGAGAACCTTTGGGTCATTTCCATAATTTGGGTATTGTAGATGCTGCTGCTATAAACATTCGGGGTACATGTATCCCTTTGAATTCGTATTTTTGTATTCTTGGGGTAAATATCTATTAGTGCAATTGCTGGATCTTCATTAATCCCTTTCATCAATGTCTTACAGTTTTCAGTGTATATGTCTTTCACCTCCTTGGTTAAATTTATTCCTAAGTATTTTATTGTTTTTAATGGTACTACAAATGGGATTGCTTTCTTATTTCTCTTTCAGATAATTTGTTAGTATATAGAAACACAAATGATTTCTGCACGCTAATTTTGTATCTGCAACTTCACTTGCTTATTAGTTCGAACAGTTTTTTGGTGGAGTCTTTAGGGTATTCTGCATATAAGAGCATGTCATCTGCAGAGACAATTTTACTTTTTCTTTCTGATTTGGATGCCTTTTATTTCTCTTTCTTGCCTACTTGCTCTATGACTTCCAGTACTACATTAAACAGAACACAGTGGTAAGAGTGGGCATCCTTGTCTTGTTCCTGATCTTGGAGGAAAAGCTTTCAGTGTTTCACCACAAAGTATGAGGTTAGCTGTGGGCTTTTCAATATTTTATTATACTGAGAAACATCCCATCTAAACCTAATTTGTTCAGATTTTTTTTTATCATAAAAGAATTGCCAAATGCTTTTTCTGCACCTATGGAGATGATGATATATTTATCCTTCATTATGTTAATGATTTGCATACCCTGAATGATGCTTGCATCCCAGGGAGGAACATCATTAAATCCTCGTGTATGATCCTGTTAACGTGTTCTAGAATTTGGCACTAGTATTTTGGTGAAGATTCTGCATCTATGTCCATTATGGATATTGAGCTGTAATTTTCTTTTCTCTTAATGTTCTTGTCTTGGATCATGGTATTTTGGTAACGCTGGCCTTGTAAAATGAGTTCGAAAGTGTTCTTTCCTCTTCAATTTTCTGTAAGAGTTTGAGAAGGATTGGTAACAATTCTTTACATGTTTGGTAGAATTCACCTGTGAAGCCATCTCATCCTGGACATTTATATGTTGGGATTTATTATTATTTATTATTGTCATCATCATCATCTAATCCCTTCCTCATTGTTGGTCTGTTCCATTTTTCTATTACTTCATGATTAAATCTTGGTAAATTACATTTCTATGCATCTATCCATTTCTTCTAAGTTACCTAATTTTTTGGCATAAAATTGTTCATAGTAGTCTCTTATGATCCTTTGTATTTCTGCGGTATCAGTTATATTACTCCCTTATTCCAGTCATCTTTTTTTTTCCTGGTAAGTGCAGCTAAAGGTTTGTCAATTTTGTATTTCTATTCAAAAAACCAACTCAGTTTCATTTATCTTTTCCATCATCTTTCTAGTCTCTATTTCATTTATTTCTGCTCTAATCTTTATTATTTTCTTCTGCTTTGTTCATTTTCTACTTCCTTGAAATGTAAAATTAGGTTGTTTGAGATCTTTCTCTTTTCTTAATATAAGTATTTACCGCTATAAATCTTCCTCTTAGAAATGTTTTTGCTAGATGCAATAATTTTTGGTATGTTTGTTTCCATTTTCATTCATCTCAAGATTTTTTTTAAATTTCCCTTTCGATTTCTTCTTTTGACCCACTGTTTTTTCAGAAGTGTGCGGTTTACATATTTATGAATTTTCCAGCTTTCCTATTATTCACTTTTATACCATATCATGTGGTCAAATACTTGATAAGATTTCACTCTTATTAAATTTGTTAAGAGTTGTTTGTGGCCTAACATATGATCTATCCTGAAGAATGTTCCACGTTCCATTCTTGAGAAGAATGTATATTCTGTTGTTGGTGGTTGAAATGCTCTGTATTCTGTACATGTCTATTGGGTCCATTTGGTCTAAGTGTAATTCAAATCCATTATTTCCATATTATATTTCTATGTGGATGATTTATCCATTGTTGAAAGCAGGGTATTGAAATCCTCTATTATTGCATTGCTATCTACTTTTGTCTTCAGATCTATAAACTATTTAATGTATCTAGGTCTTCCAATACTGGATGTCTATATATATATATATATATATTTCTTAATGTTTATGTTTATTTTTGAGACAGAGAAAGACACAGCATGAGCTGGGGAGGGGCAGAGAGAGAGGGAGACACAGAGTAGGAAGCAGGCTCCAGGCTCTGAGCTGTGAGCACAGAGCCTGACACAGGGGTCAAACTCGTCAAGTGCAAGATCATGACCTGACCCGACGTCTGAAGCTCAACCAACTGAGCCACCCAGGTGCCCCTATTGGATGCCTAAAAATTTACTATTGTTACAACCTCTCAGTGAATTGATCCCTTTATCTTCTTTATCTCTTGCTGCAGCTTTTCACTTAAAGTCTATTTTGTCTAATATCAGTATAGCTACTCCAGCTTCTTTTGGTTTCTATTTGCATAGAATATTTTTCCATCCTTTTAGTTTTGGTCTATGAGTGTTCTTATAAGCACCATATACTTGGATTTTTATTTATTTATTTATTTATTTTGTAATTCATTGAGCCACCCTATGTCTTTTAGTGGAGAATGTAAGGCATTTACATCATTGATAGGTAACACTTTTGTCTTTTAACCTATGTGCTAGAGTTCACTATTGCAATATTCAGAAAATTAACTATATATTTATATATTTACCTTTAACAGTGAATTTTATACTTCCATATATTTTCATGTTACTAATTCACATCCTTTCAGCTTGAAGAACTCCCTTTAGCATTTCTTATAAGGCAGATCTAATGATGATAAATTACCCCAGCTTTTATTTGCTTGGGAAAGACGTTATCTCTCCTTCATTTCTAAAGTTTGTGATTGACAGTTCTGAAGTATTCTTGGTTGATTGTGTTTTTCTTTGCGCACATGGAAGGCCTGTTGGGCCTTCTGCTGGGAAGTCTGCTGACAGCTGTATCAGGATTCCCTTGTATGTGGTGAGTCTTTTTTCTCTTGCTGCTTTTAGAATTCTTTGATTTTTTTGAGAGCTTGGCTACAATGTGATCTCTTTGGATTAAATCATTTTGGGGACACTTGAGCTTCATGTTCCTGGATGACTGCATCTCTCCCTAGTTTTGGAAAGTTTTTAGCCATTATTTCTTCAAATAAGTTTTCCCTGTCTTTT